GAGCTGAGAATGAAAGTAACCGTAAAAACAAGGATGTCAGAGATTCCTTTGTTCCGACTAACATTTGGTAAATAAATTTTGAGGTTTAAATGGCTGTTGTTTAAAAGTGTGATGGTTTAAAGTAATTAAAAGGACGAGTACACTGAATCGGTTAATAAAATTAATTCCCTGCAGTATAATTTTTCTGATTCCTATAGCAGGAGCTTATTCTAACCAGTCAATGTGACCTTTAATGACACCCCCCCCCCCCCCCCCCCCCCCCATATTTTGCCAAGTTATCATGTCAGGAAGTTCCTGTCCTCTTGAGTGGTGGCGTGAAGCCAGTAAAGTCGTTCTGTGACATTGCTAGCTGTCATATTACTGTTGTTGGATAATGATTAATGGCACAAAATAATCTGCCCTTCTAGTGAGAAGTAGCTGTGAATGCCTCAGCTGTTATTTGTGGAGCAGGGAGGGCTGCAAGGCTGTAAGTCATTAGATATTAGGGCAGGTTCTGCAGGTTCATGGCGAAGTTAAAGAGGTGGATGATTTTCCATATGACAGCTCATCAGCCTGTTAACAAAATTCTTACTCCACCTTCCTGCTCCACTGGAACGCAAATAGCAGCAGGAACGCTGTTGGCAGCAAATTGAAAAACAGCCTCTTTTTCTTCTTTTCACTGCTGTTCCCTCTTCCTTTCGCTTGCTCGCTCCTTCTGTCTGCTGCTTTGCTGTTTCCCTACCATTCTCCATCTTTCTCCTCACTCCTGATTCTTTTTTTCTCTTTGTGTCTCTTTCTAGGCATCTTATTCACCATGTTTGATTTGGGCATTCCTTTCCCCCTTAGCAGACAAAACAACCTCGGACCTAACTGAACTGCAAGCCCCAATGTGCACACACATATACATAGACGTACACACACACACACACACACACACCCTTTTTCTAATCACACACAGGAAATGGGCTCCCGTGCAAACAAGGAGCGCCTGGCCGCTGGAACCCAGGATGGCGTTTGAAATGTTCTCTCGTGGAAGAAACAGAACTCGAGTTCTCTTTGTACTTCTTTGGTTCTGCCTTGTTTCATTTATTTTAATCAGTTTTTCTGTGTGTTGGTCATGTCGTCCATGACGTTTACATTGGAGTGAAACAACAACAACATGTCGTAAAGTTCGGGTGTTGAAAAATAAACTCACACCTCGAACTTTGGCATACTGCATGTGAAAGTGAAAGCCGAAGTTCTGAAAAAAATATCAAGAGATACTGCATAAATCATAAAAGGATGATAAAGGCACAGTAAATGACACATTGTGTGTTTATGAGGAATTTATTGGAGGAAAACCCCTTAACAGGGATTTCTGCCCTGTTTCACATAGTTAATGCTGTGTTAACACACTGTGCATGTAATGAAAACTAAATACATGCTTTTACTATTATAGTATGAGGGAAAATAAATAATCTTGGTCTGAAAAAGCAGATAAGGTAACATTAAAACTAATTTAATACAAATGTATCCTCACTTTCCACTTTAGTGGCGTTTCTGTGTGCTCAACATTAGTCATTTTAGAGGCTCGTGCTTACGGTGCTGCTGAATTGTGTCTTGTTTAACTGAGAGATTTTTCTAATATTTTGTCCATCCCATAAAAGCAAGTTTCCATAATGCCATAAATTTCAGTGGGTGCACGAAAGCTGAGTTTATTGCAGGGATTTTTGCAGTAGACTGCATTTACTGCATTGCAGTAGAGCTAGGTGTACTTTTTTTTTTTTTTTTTTTTTTTTTTTTTTTTTAATACAAGTCAGACATTTATAAGACATTTTCCTGATCCATTAAAAAGTAAAAAGTCAGTTTAAACTTGTGTAAATGACACATGATGTAAGGAAGGGGGAAAACTGTATTAGGAAGCAAGTTCAGTACACAAAGAATATCTTTTCCCTATCGGGCTTTACTCCAGATACGTTGATAATCCCACTGTTTAAGATCATAACAATATATTACAGCTTAAAGAACAATATAAGAAGTTGTTTTAACATTATTTGCAGCAAACAATTCAAAAATCAAGGAGTAAAGATGCTCCTAAAAATGTGTTTCTTTTCATGCAAATTAAACTTGATTTAAGGGAAAGAAAAACAACTGAACTGGGGTTTGTATTAGGAACCAAGTTTAGTATCCCAAGGCTATCTTTTCCTTATCTGGCTTTACTTATCTGGATAACTGTTTACAGATGATAACACTATATTACTGCTTATAGAACAATATAGGCACTTGTTTTACGATTACTTGCTGCAAATGGAGGGAAGAAAAAAATCACAGAGATGGCTCCTAAAAATGTATTTCTTTATTAATGCTCCTCAGCGAAAGCCAAAAAAGACATCTAGACCCTATTACTACATGCACAGTGAGGTCCATGGGCCATCGAAGGAATGAATTCACTATTTTAGGGTGAACTGACACTAAAAACGGTGTTACCTTGCTAACCCCCTAAAACTTCTTTGTAGTAGAGCCCTCAGGTGTCTGATAGGTAAGTCACCAACACGCATTCTGAAGGAAGTTCCACCTCACACTGTTTCACTTAATTCTGCTGAGTAGAATGATGAATTCTCCACAACCTGTGTGTATAAAGGGAAGCAAGTGGGTGTGATGGATGAGCAGGAGACAGCTGTTTTTAGTTTTCCTTGGTTATGGGCTGGCTAACCATCTGAACTTCCTTCACACACACGCACACAAATACGCAACTCAACAGCACACACAAAAGCAGACAAACATGGGTTTATAATTTCTTTGGGACCATAAAAAATGTGTCAAATCTGATCAGTGAAGTCATACGTTTCAATTATAATCAATTTCATTAATCACACACTCTCGTTTTGTTATGCTCAGCAGAATTACACATTTGGTTTACGGCAGTGCTGTAATGTCATGAATCGTGAGAATGTCAGATGATTCAGCAAAACCCGTGTTATACGGCTGCTTTCCTCAGTCGAACATGACATGGCTGAGCGCAGAGCTGCTGGATTATCTCCTTCCTCCGGAGTAAAGATGTGAAAGAACAAATAGACTCATGGAAAGGGGTTGAGAGTGGCAGGATCAAGTAAAAGGCAAGTGCTCTGTGTCTGTCAGAAGGTACTTACATGATCAAACAGTATTTGAGTACATCACTTGCCACCCTTCCTTAGTTCAGCCTAGGTTAAATAAAGGGAAACTGCTTTACAGTCTCTTATATAAAGTGGTAGGAGAAGTAGTCTTTTTTTTTTTTTTTTTGTTTTTTTCCAGTGATGGCACCTGTCGCACTTTGATAGTTAAATCAAAACCGAAAACTTTTTCCTACCTTGGATAGTTTATCTTACTTTTTCTTAACCAGCTGCCTTTCCGCCATGTACCTGCATCAGTAATTTCCATCCACCGTTTGCTCTTCCTGTCATACGGAGTGCTCTGAGTCACTTGTTTACATTTGGGTCGCGTGTCGGCAGCTGCTCGTATCTCCTCTTTACATACCTTCTTACCCCTGTTGCACACATTGGTGTGTTTTCCCCTTAAAGTGGTGAAACAAGTTTGTTTCCACCATTCCAGAAACAGTTTTTTTGCATATTTTGCCAACTACTCTGCTGGTTGTTGAAGTAGCTCTTTTTTAGGTGCTCATCAGCATGAGCAGAAGCTGACACGTGGCTCTCGGCCTCAGACATGCCTGGCCTTGTTGTTGTTGTTGTTGTTGTTGTACACGCTAACAAGCATAAAAGTATTGTGTCTGTATCATTGATATTGTGATGCTTTTGAAAACCTTTGTCATGTAAGGATACTGATGATATCGCAGATACACCAGTTGCTAAAATATATATATTAAAAAAAATGAACCTCGCTCAGCCATGGCCTTGAAGCTCCCACATCAGCATGTTGTAGCTCATTTTCTTTGATCCATTAGACCTAGACAGAGGGTAAACACAATAGGTTTTTTTTTTTTTTTTTTTTTGAAGTGTGGAATCATTTTCTTGCTAGAACAGGCATCCAGGAAATGAAAAGAAATATTGAGCGGGTGTAAACTTCTTTTTGTGCTTCTGGGGTGGTTCATGCTTAACAAAGTCTGAGAACCACAGATTTTAGAGGATTTGTGTTGTTCTTTTTAATCATTCATAAAAACTAGTGTCAACTACACAAGTATTTTCCATTTCCCTTTTTGTGGGCAAAACAGTTACAAATCAGAGCTTGCTTTCTTGTTTATGAGCCTGCTCTGTCTTCATCAGGATGGCATTTGTGAATTAGATTCTCAGACTTTACATTGTTCTTCATTTTCCATGTCTCGAAACTCAAGCTTGTTATGTCGTAAATAATGTTCCCTCTCTGATGTACAGTTACAAAAGTGAGCGTCCTGCTGCTGCTTACAGTTTCCAGCAGTGTTCCCTTTCTCTTTCGGCCCAGTCCTCTACTTCATTTCTCAGCCTTTCCCTCTCATCCTTTAAATTCAGTCCAGACTCAGGTCTTAAATCTGGATTCTCTGCGCTTAACCAAACATATGGAATGCTACTGTAGTGGAATGCTTCGTGTGTGTGTGTGTGTGTGTGTGTGTGTGTGTGTGTGTGTGTGTGTGTGTGTGTGTGTGTGTGTGTGTGTGTGTGTGTGTGTGTGTGTGTGTGTACACATGTTTTGAAGCAGATGAGAGCTTCTAGGATGATGATGATTATGATAATGGTGCGTGTGTGTGTGTGTTTACCAGTGCCTCCCCAGAGAACTGAATAGGGCCTTCTGTTGTCGTGGCCAAACATTGCTTGTCTGCTCATGCATGAGTCTATTGCAAAGCCTCAGAATGTGCCCCATATCTGAGCAGTTAGCTCATTCTTAGCCTCTTAGCTTGACTGTGAACGTTCTCCCTTACAGCGACTGCTTTGTCAGCCCGGCCGCCGGCCCCGGGCTTTGTCAAGTGCCAAAGATAACAATGGCGAAAGATTGCATGAGTGTGTGTGTTGATATAATGATGACCAGTGCTTCCATTTTTACTAACCTCACGCCCTCTCTGTGTGTTTTAACCACAGGATGGAGAGTTTGTGGAGCTTGATTTGCTTTAGAGGAAAGGATGCATCTTAAATTAAGTAAGTTGTGGGAAGTTCTTTGTGATTTTTAGGATTTCTGCCAGTGTGTAAAAGCCCTGCAGCCCAGCAGGCCTGCACTTACACTCCTGCCAATCTAAGCCGATTTTTTTTTTTTTTTTTTTTTTTTTTTTTTTTTTAAAGACATAATCTGTAATCAGGAAGTTGTCTAATATAGCCTCTTAACCCACTGTTCTTGTTAACTATTTTACACAAATAAGCATTGAGTGACCAGGCAGATGTTATGACCCAATACAGTTTTATCTGTAAGGCTGATACGTCTCCACTTGTGTGAATAAAGTCAACTGCAATTTCGTGCTCTCCTTCTCGTCCTCTAGTTCATTCCTTTTCATGTCTAAAGTAGAAAATAAACTATTTGGTGTTTCTCTTCAGCCCTTTCCAGTTTACAGCTCATACAGCAGCACTTCTTCTTTGACACATAATTACCAACTGACATTATAGTGGATGGATAGCACCATTAGTTGAGTGCAACATTGAGTTGTGCCAAATCAACCTCTTCTGAGATTGTCAGGCTTGCTGTTTTCTCGCGTTCTCAGCAGCTCCGGGGACAGAAGTAGTGAAGTTTAGTTTATTAGTTAAGTTTGAAGTTGAGTCAAAACCTACCAGAGTATTGCAGTTGGTATTTAAATGCATTAGGTCACTAACCGTGTTAGACAGCTTCTCAGTTTCAGGCTAGTCTGGTTAAACTCTCACATCTTTCCCTTCACTTCTTCTCCTCATCCTCCAGTCTTGCCTACTTTTCTTCCCTTCCTTTCCCCCTCCTCCTTGCCTCCTCGCCTCCTCAACCCCTCCTCTACTCTTTTGTGAGTCTGTTTCCTGTTGGGCACAAATGCCGGCGCCGCATTTCCTTCCCTATAGCCTAAAGTAACACAGGAGTGGTACATACATGTACAGTTGCAAAAAAAAATGCAATTTCCAGTAAAATACGGTTTGATATTCACTGAGGGCAGCGGAAAGGACAAATGGTGTGACTAATAACACACAAGCACATAGAGGGATCACTCAACGTAAGTGAACCTCTAAATCTTCAAAAGCTACTGTGAGTCAGGTTTGAAATTAAAAAGATCAAACACAGTGCACAATGCAATGCTCACAGGAAGCGGGACCTGTATGAGCACCAAAAGATGAAGAATGCTGAAGGGGACAACTTCAAGGCAGCAGTCCCTTTTCCTGAAGTGGTTGAGAGGTCTGTCCACGGTTTAGTTTGAAATGTACGTTTTGCAATGGCAAAATCAGATTACTGATATTAACCCAACTGAGATGTTGTGACCTCAAGGCATCCCAGAAATCCTGCTGAACTGAAACGGCCTCGTAAGGAAGGATTGTGAGGGACCAAGCAGCCAAAGCAAAGAGGACACAAGCAAAAATATCTTCAAAAAGGGTTTTCTTTATTTTAACCCTCAAAAAGTCCAAAATTAACAAAATTCAAAACCATACTTAGCAGGCCCATAAAACAGGTCAACTAAATATAACTCTACAAAAAGTAATTTCCAAAAACTTAAACAACAAAATGAGACACAACTTAACTCACAAACTGACCTAATTACAAAGACACATGAGGGTAGCTTTTATAATGATTTGGCCAAACCATTTGAACACAATAGGGGGAAAACAAAACACACACTAATATTAACTAAGCACAGAATAACCTAACTAAACCTAAAACACCCCTGCTCCTGGTAAGCCCATGGTTGGTCCTGCTGAGCAGGCATTTTGTCCCCAGAGTCCTCAGCCACGCCTTTTGCCCAGACAGGAAACAGCCACCGCCCAAACCCAGGTAACTCAAAGAAAGAGAAACATAATTAATATAACAAAACATTTTAGAAAAACCACACAATGTTAGTATGTGTGCGCCTCATAATACCAGTGTTAGGTTTAACCAAATGATTAATGAAGAAAACTGCAAAGCAAAATAATAAAGTGAAAAATGGACTAATTTACCCCTGTGTGGCTGATGCCATCACACACACCCCCTCTTCAGGACTCTCGCTGGTACAGCGAGAGAGGAAGTCGGCGGTAACGTTGTTCTTCCCAGGAATGTGCTTGATGACAAACCGGAAAGGTTGCAGAGCAAGGTACCATCTTGTAATCCTTCCGTTCTTATCCTTCATCTTTTCCATCCACTGAAGTGCACTGTGATCCGTCTCCAGGGTGAATTCTCTTCCAAGAAGGTAGTACCTGAAGGAATCAAGGGCCCACTTGATTGCAAGGGCCTCCTTTTCCACTGTTGAATATCGAACCTCTCTCGGGAACAGCTTTCGGCTGATATAAGCAACAGGATGACGTTCTCCTTCCAAACCTTGAAGTAGCACTGCTCCCAGACCCCTATGAGATGGATCCGTTTGAAGGAAAAAGTGCTCATTAAAGTCTGGACTGTACAAAACTGGTTCGCTACTCAGTGATTGACTGATGTCCTTGAAAGCTGCTATAGCCTCCTCTGTCCAGTTAATCTGATTAGGACACTTGATGCCTATCAAGTCCGTTAGTAGAGCTGCCCTGGTGGAGAATCGTGGTATGAACCGACGATAAAAGCCTGCCATGCCCAAAAAGGATCTTAGTTGCTTCCTTGTCTGTGGGAGAGGACAAGACTCAATGGCTTGGATCTTACTGACCTGAGGCTTGATCACCCCATTCCCGATCACATGGCCCAGGTACGCAGTCTCAGCAGAGGAAAAAACACACTTAGAGGGGTTCACCGTCAACCCAGCAGTGCCAAGACGGTCGAAGACAGCATGCAGATGTTCCAAGTGTTCCTCCCATGTGGTGCTGTAGATGAAAATATCATCAAGATATGCAGATGCAAAATCTGAGAAACCACATAGTACTTGGTCCATTAATCTCTGAAAGGTTGCTGGAGCCCCATGCAGCCCGAATGGCATCACTGTAAATTGGAAGAGACCCCAAGGTGTTCGAAAGGCAGTCAACTTCTTTGATCGCTCCGTTAGTGGCACCTGCCAATATCCCTTGCACAGGTCAAGTGTGGTCAAGTACTTTGCCTTCCCCAGCCGTTCCAGCAAATCATCAATACGTGGTGTGGGGTATGAATCAAACAGTGATATTGAGTTTAGGTACCTGAAGTCTATACAGAACCTCATGCTTTCATCCTTCTTTGGCACCAGGACCACTGGATTACACCACTCACTCTTTGATGGCTCAATGATCCCCAAGGACAACATGAGGTCGATTTCCTTCTTCAGGGATATTAGCAGACGTTCAGGGATCCTGTAGCTCAAACGCTTTACTGCGACGCCCTCTTTAATGACAATGTCATGCTCAACAATATCTGTTCGGCCAGGATTCACTTGAAGCACCTCAGAGTTGCATGCAGCTCTCACCTGAAGCTGTTTATCATCTGGCAGATGACTAAGGTCAAAATCTACCACATCAGCAGAAGGCAAGTATTGCTCACCAACCTCTTCTTCCTCTGGCACACCCCTTATGAGCATCACCTCTGCTGTCTTTTCAGGGCGCTGCGCCCATTCCTTCAAAAGATTTATGTGCAGAACCCTGCTGGAACGTGGCTTTCCAGGGATGAACACTTGGTAAGTAGTGGACCCCAATTTCTTCTGAACCTCAAAGGGCCCTTGCCACTTAGCCAATAGCTTGTTCTTGTCAGTGGGGAGGAGCACCAACACCTTTTGTCCAGGACTAAAAGACCTCTGACGAGCTGCTCGGTCATACCAAAACTTCTGCTTCTGCTGGATTTTGGTCATATTTGACTGAGCAAGCTCACTCATTTTCTGCAGTCGCTCCCTCATCCACTGGAGTTTTTTCTGCTGACAATGGCCTTTGATGATACATCTGGGCTGATTTGGGGCCTTCCTTTGGCATTTTATTTGCATTACAGGTCCAAGGTTGCCCTTTCCTCCTGGCAGCTACAAACACTTCTGCCAGCTCAGCTGCCTTCGCTGCAGAAGACGGATTGTGCTCTCGAATCCAAACCTTTTGGCTGAATCCATTTCCCGTACAGGTCTTTAAGTCGAGCATACAACTCCTTAGGGTTCTCATCAAGCCTGACTTCCAGTGAACGGAATCGCTGCCTGTAGGTCTCAGGGTTAACATCATATTTGGACAAAATTGCAGCTTTAACTTTGTCATAGCTGAGAGAGTCATCAATATCCATATGAACGTATGCTCCTCTTGCCTTGCCCGTTAGCAGTGGTATTAATCGAAAAACCCAGTCTGTTTTTTCCCAACGATATGCTAAGGCAATGCGTTCAAATGTAGTCAAAAAATGCTCAATATCATCACTATCAGTCAACTTTTCCAGTCTGGGTTCATGCAATGAAAACTGACCTGATAATGACTGACTGGATTAAGCTTGAGCTTGAGGAGAACTAGGAATGTGAGGTAGCTCCCTTGACTCTGGTGACTCTGTGGTAGGTAATGGTAGCTCTGGTACTGGTGATGTCCGGGACTGCACCTCTAACTGTAAAAGCTGAAACTGATGTTGCAATGCTTTGAATTTTTGTTCTTGTCGTGCAGTTACCTCTTCTTGCCTTGCTTCCCGAGCCTCCTGTTGACCCATATGAGCTTGCAATATTGACATCAGATCTGACAGAGATGGCTCCCTTTCTTCAACCTCAGTGCTCTCCACCATTTCAGAGACTCCAATTTCCTCCTCAGCATCAGCTTCCTTCTGAACAGTTACTCCTTTCTTCCTTTCCACCTTTCCTCCCCGATGCATTTTTCTTTTTTTCTGGGGGTGAAAAAGCCTCAAAGAAAAAAAAAACTGTCCTCAACTGGCAGATCCCACTGCTGCCACCAATTGTGAGGGACCAAGCAGCCAAAGCAAAGAGGACACAAGCAAAAATATCTTCAAAAAGGGTTTTCTTTATTTTAACCCTCAAAAAGTCCAAAATTAACAAAATTCAAAACCATACTTAGCAGGCCCATAAAACAGGTCAACTAAATATAACTCTACAAAAAGTAATTTCCAAAAACTTAAACAACAAAATGAGACACAACTTAACTCACAAACT